AACCCAGGGCCTCATACATGCAAGGCAAGCTCTCTACCACTGAGCCACCTTCCCAGCCCTCATCTGGAAATATTTTAAAAGTAAAAATGCCCTGGTTTCATTCTTAGAATTTGTGATTTAATTTGTTTGAAATGAAGTCTAAATGTCTGAGTATTTTTCAATTTCCCATGTGGCTTTAATCTATAATCAGCTTTGAAAACTAATGAATTAGAAAGTAAGTTAATTGGCTCATTATATAACGAAAATAGAAATCTGGAGAAAGGAGAAGGAAACTTGTAGTTTCTGTAGTTCGTGGACATATCAGAGTTAAATATCAAGGGCAGTATGCCTAGTTCTGCTAGGTTTCCAGTTAGGGTAAATGTTTCCTTGCATATTTCTTTCTTTGTTAATCATTGGAGAAGTTTTGTAGGATGAGATCACATTCAGCCAATATAACTAACTATGAATGGGAATGGGCATCAGTGAGATTACATCTTGTTATGCACACCATTCACAAAGTAGACGTTCAAGTCAAGACAAGATAGCTTCGAGGAGTCGTGACTTTTCATCAACCTTGACTTTTGGCTAACAGGAGGTTTCTTTTTCTGCCTTTCTTCTTGGGGTAGGGAAAACCTTCAAAAACTTCCCCAGTTGGCCGCCATTCACCATAACAACTGCATGTATATCGCTCACCACTTGCTGACTCTGGGGCACCAGTTCCGATTACGGCTTGCGCCCATTCTTTGTGATGGTACTGCTACTTTTGTGGATCTCGTACCCGGCTTCAGAAGACTTGGTAATGGATGCCTTGAAATTGAGGAAAGCATATGGATTATGTAGCTTTTTTAGCCTCCTATCTTTGTAATTTATAAATGAGGAGGTTGGACATTTAGGGTGGTACGGTCCTTAGCTATAATATAGCAAAGTAGGAGGGCATCTACAGATGTTTCTAGTTATTTAACTTCATGAAATGAATGCAGTCTTTGTGGAATTCCGCAAAGGCTTTTGTGACACGATTTCATGGTACATTAGAGTTCCCAACCTCATTGCTGATGTGCATTGAATTTGCCAAATCAGAGTTACGTCAGTAGAGTGACACATAATAAGATTTGTATTGTGACAATTCTGCTAGCATTGTTAGTAAGAGCTCACTGATGTCTCTGCTTATTCTTTGGCAAATCCCAAGACAGCATCTCCTGGTATGTCTTTAGTTTTACCTAGGATTATTAAAAGTCAAAAAGAAATGAAAGGTGGGGAAATCAATGTGTTTACTCTAATAATAGCCTGAAAAAAGTAGAGAACCTATATGGTTCACTTAGCTTTTCAATTTGTGACTTTTCCCTTTATTGGTGTAGATAGATGAGAATAGTAAGTAGTTTCTTCTATGTAAGGAATTTTTCTTAGCTGACTTAGACTCTAGGAAAACTATTGAGAATGATTTGTTTCTTATCCTGATGGTGGATTGGAAGCATTGCTAGCTGTATTCAAATTACGTTTCTAGTATCCTCAGGACAGTTGCATGTTGCTGTAGAGTGTTTGTTTCCAGATAGGTAGAACAAATACATGGTTTGTGCTTGTCTCTCCTTTTCTACCCCAGTTGACAGGTTTTAGAATTCTTTGTTTTCCCATGTAGGGACAGAGTGCTTTTTGGCCCAGATGCGGGCACAGAAAGGTGAACTTCTGGAAAGATTATCCAGTGCTAGGAGCTTTTCAAACATGGATGACGAAGAGAATTACTCTGCGGCAACTAAAGCAATCCGACAGGTGGGAGATAGTTACTAACATTAACACTGATACCTGAAGCAGCAAGTTTATTCCCTATTCTGTTGGAAAAATCTGGATATGTTTTACAGAACTTTCTCTTATGCCCTCATCCCCTTACAGACATAAAACAATAATAGCAAGTGTGAGTTGTAACAGTCTCTTTTTTGGGTAACGTATCATATTGTTCTCACAGGTACTGCACCAGCTCAAGAGACTTGGAATTGTGTGGCAGGATGTCCTGCCAGTGAATATTTATTGCAAGGCTATGGGGACTTTACTGAATACAGCCATTTCTGAGATCATTGGCAAAATCACTGCCCTAGAGGTAAGGGCCATTAGTAGATGCCTCACCAGACTTGAGATACAAATTTTTACTCCAGACATGGTAACCTTATTGACAGTGACTTTGAAATTTCATTTTTAATCAACACAGATGGAGAAATTGTTGTTTCAGCTCTTACTCATGCTGTTGTGCTTTCTCAGATTTGTTCTAAATCTGTTTTACTGGAGACCTGCTGATCTGTTTTATACCTAGATAAGGAAATAGTATTATACTGCTTCTCCAGCTAGCATCTATAAATTAAATGGAGAAATTGGAAACTGGGCTATGGTCCCGAGACATTTTATGTAGTATAAAGTAATTTGGTTTGCAAGTGAACTAAATAATTTAATTTGATAAAGTGAGTACAGTCTTGTGTAACACTTTGCCAACACACTGTTACAGTTGAGTTCACTGTGTGTGTGTGAGATCCCACAGGAAAATCGCCTATACTGAGCCAGCATGGCTTGACAAAATCTTTATTTGTAGTAAGGTGTCCTGTTTTGCAGCAAGCTGTACCACATTCTCTTGGAGAAATGGATTCTTTCATGCAGGCAAAGTAAATTATTGACAATCCGGTGAAACATACTCTGTGTCATTTCAGCTTCAGGAGTATTTTCAGAGAGCTGATGGAATCTAATATCTAGTTGGTGTTAGAAAACGTATTGCTGCATCTGACCCACCTGGACAGCTCTCCTCAAAGCTCTGTGCTGCCCCTTACCTACAATAAGTTAGCCAACTTCTAATCTGTTGTTTCCTTTATGCAAAACCTAGGACATTTCAACTGAAGATGGTGATAGATTGTATTCTTTATGCAAAACAGTGATGGATGAAGGACCTCAAGTATTTGCACCTCTGTCTGAAGAAAGCAATAATAAGAAATATCAAGAAGAGGTTCCAGTCTATGTGCCCAAATGGATGTCTTTCAAAGAGTTAATGATGATACTACAAGCTAACTTGCAAGAAATTGGAGATCGGTATGCAAAAACTTTCTGTAAAGACTATCTTAGTATAATGACAGATGAGCAATAGTGCCATTGGTAGCCGTGCTTTTCTCTGTTGCTTCACACATGCCAGTCTTGCTAGGCAAATAGTTGACCACTGAACCACACATCCCCAACCTCTTCTGAATATTATTCAGGGATGAGTTTTTTGTTGAATAGCAGTAATTAGGGCCTTTTTGTAGTTTACCATAGTGTAGAATTTTTATCACTTTCCCACTTGACAACATAAAGAGTTCTTGCTCATGTTATTTTTATCTGTAGCGTGTGATTTGGGCATGTAGTACAATTGATTAGGTATAAGTACAACCTCACACCTGGATGAAAGTTAAAATTTTTGTCTGGGTTTTTTGTTTTTGTCAATTATGGGGCTTGAACTCAGGTCAGGGCCTGGGTGCTGTCCCTGAGCTTTTCTTCTCAGGGCTAGCACTCTACCACTTTGAGCCACAGCTCCACTTCTGGTTTCTGGTGATTAATTGGAGATCAGAGTCTCAAGGACTTTCCTTCCCTGGCTAGCTTCAAACTGTGATCCTCAGGTCTCATCCTCCTGAGTAGCTAGAATTATAGGTGTGAGTTACCAGCACCCAGAACTCATTTATTTGTTTTTTAAAATGTTAATACTGGGGCTTGAACTTAAGGCCTATGCAGGTTCTAGTCAGATGCTCTGCTATTTGTGCCATGCCCCAGTTTTGGTGGTTTTTCTTTGAAATTGTTATGTAGAACCCAACACATTGAGAGTATGATCATAATGACCATGTTCAATGAGGCTTAGTGAGTATACATTTAAGGAAGGACAGTCTTATCTTCCTGTCTAGGACCCTTCATCTGGCTATGCCTGCACCAAGTGCAGCCAGTGCACTTGATATTTAGTGTAGCCAAGATATTGATGGGTAAATCTACAATGAAGAGGAAAAATACTTAGTGTTTTATCTTATTTCTATTTAAAACAAGTACTTGTAGATTATAAGCTTATAATTACATTTACAACAAAGTAAGAAATTAAAAACAATTATATCTTGAGACATAATAGGAAACATAATTCAATCTTTTGTTTTGCAGGTGGGCTGATGGGAAAGGACCCTTGGCAACTGCGTTTTCATCAAGTGAAGTAAAAGCTTTAATTCGTGCCTTGTTCCAGAACACAGAAAGAAGAGCAGCTACCCTTGCAAAGATAAAATAGCTCCATCTTCCTGAGGAAGCCATATTTTGACTATGTGATTCCTGCTTGGGTATACTTAACTCCCTTCAAGACTTCTTGGAATCATTTGGTGAAACAAAATTAATGGAATGTTTGACTTTACTTAAGGACGTCTTACCTCCTGGCCTGTATGAGGCTTCCTTGAAGAACTGGGCATTAAGTTGCCAGTTTGATCCCAAGCACTACAAAAAGGAAAGAAAAAAAAAAAGAAAAGTGAAGCACCTCATTTGGGTGACTTTGTAGCCACCTCCTTTAATACAGATGAAACTATAGGACAGTATATTAATGTCACTTTCAGGGCCCTCTGAGAACTGTATATATTATAATTTTTGGTGTTGGCTTTGGACTAAGGAATCCAAGAGTCAAATTAAAGAATGTATGAGATATTGGGGGTGGGGAGGGTATGAGATACCTTATTTAGCCTTGCAGGAATTAGGGAGACCTCTCTCTCCTGCCCTCCCCTCCCCTCACTTTACCTCCCTTCCCTTCCTTTCCCTCCCTCTCTCTTGTCTATTTGTTTTAAAGACAAGGTCTTGCTATGTATCCTAGACTGACCTGGAACAGATCCTTCTGCCTCAGTTTCCTGAGTGCTGGGATTACAGATGTGTGTTACCTGTGTCTGGCAACTTCTTGTAATTCTTTGCAGTAAATAATGCTTTTCAGATTTAAGAGTGAGTGTCTTTAATAATGCAGGAACTTTGACCAAAGAAACGGTTTTCTGTGCTTTTCTGTTTATTGAAGTATATCACCCTCACAGAAAACTTAGTGTTGCCTCTCTGTCTCTGTCTCTGTCATCTCTCTCTCTCTCTCTCCCGTCTCTTTTTTTCTCTCTCTCAAAGACAGGGTCTTGCTATCTAGCCTAGGAAAGCTTTGAACTTGTAATCCTCTTGATTCAGTCTCTTAAGTGTTTCACCATGCCTGGTAATCTCTTTTATTTATACCACTATCTACCACTCTTCAGAATTCCTGGGACTCTTAAGAGTTCATTTAAGCATATATTTTTGCTATTACAATTAAATTTTGTTTTCTTGGTTTTTTTTTCTCCTGTTTTCACACTTCATTTTTCTGCACCTTGCCAAATGTCACAGGTTTCATATTGCCAGTGTTCCTTTGGAATATTTGTGCCTAGGAATCCTAACACTGGACCGGACCCTACTGTCTAATGCTTCATTTGATGGACAGCTAATTTTTTTTTTTTTTTGTCGGTCATGGGACTTGAACTTTGGGCTTGGGCGCTGTCCCTGAGCTCTTCAGCCCAAAGCAAGTGCTCTACCACTTGAGCCACAGTGCCATTTCCAGTTTTCTGGTGTTTAGTTGGAGATGAGTCTCATGGACTTTCTGCTTGGGCTGCCTTTGAATGTGATTCTCAGATCTCAGCCTCCTGAGTACTTAGGATTACAGGCATGAGCATATAGCTAATCTTTCAGCTTGACTTTTTGTGTTTTTCAGTCTTTAAAGCCATTGGAAGCATATGTTGTGTTTAAGTGGTCCTGGACCTCTTGGACCCTTGCCTGTATTTTATCTCTTGCTACTGGATTATGGTTTCACTTTGTGAAAGAAGGTAAAGGATTTGATCATAGTGTGCTTTTGAGGCAGGTGCTTTCCAAAGGGTTTTTCCAGTCCCATGAGCCCACGTCTCGATTCCTCAGCCTCCTAGTCTCTTGCCTTAAAATAGATTTTTTTTTCGCCCTGCCTTCACCTTTTTGTCCATAGTTCTTTCTGGTCAGCCTTTTTAGTCTTTTCCTATTTAAGGGTCATAGAGGAACTAATGAGAAATACTGGTAAAACTTTCTCTCAGAACTCACCTGGTTAAAGATAATTTGTCCTCTGTCTCCTGCTTAGAACTCCGAGAGAAAATAAAATGGTCTGAACAGCTGTGTGTGTGTGTGTGTGTGTGTGTGTAGAACAAAGAAGTGAGCCTTCTTAAGAGAGGAAGAAAATACTTGTTTTTTTTAACTCAAATTTTTGAAACTTGAATTTTAGTTAGCATTCTTTCTCAGCAATTTTAAGAATAGGATACAAAGGGCAGAACTGAATAAATGCATCACGAGGCTATTACACAGAGCAACAGATTTCTTTAGTTAAAGAGCTACTGTTGCTTGACAGGTGTGTACAGCAGTTTGGGGGTGGGTTGTCTTCTAAGCAAAAACTGCTCCCCATTACTTCCCTCCTCATAGTAGCACAGAAGACCGAATTCTTGGGCTGTGTGGGCTTAGTCCCTGGGGACTATTTCCCCTGAGTAGTTTGCTAACCATGGCACAGAGAAGCATCATCCTCTTCCCTAGCCATGGCAATTTGGTAGCTGAATAGTAAGCCAGTGTTCAGACTGGCTAGCCATTAGTTGTATGATATGATAGTGGGAACTGAATCTGGCATCCCTTAGCGCATCCTTGAGGGTATCTCTTCTGATTGGGAACCTGCGCTGGAATGGGAGTAGACCTTTCTTTTAGAGCATGCTGATTTGGGAAGTTAAGCATGTTGATTATGGGAGTCAAGAACGTTGACTTATTTTGTGGCTGTATGGGCCAAGTAAAGGAAACCTCTTCGCAAAGAGCACCAGAGATTACACAGATCACATTGGGAAGTGAAATTTGTGAACCGTTTCCCAAGGTTGTAATAAAAGGAAAGTTGTTTGAAAGTTGGAACACTCTAAATCTGTGAGGTGATTTGATAGTGGCTCTAGTTTCCATGTGGCTGCTAAATTATTGATGGCTAACCCTTGGTCACTTTTGTGAAAGAATTTTGCTGAAGTAGAGATCCTCCAGGTGGCAGTGTTTCTTCAGGCCTGGAAACATCTAAGCCTGGCCCATGGAAATGGAGCCAGAGAACTTGTTGGTTTTATCCTGAACTTTTGGCCTTGGTCAGCCCTGGAAAGGTCAGACTGAGCGGCATTTGTACTGTAAGCTTCAGTATGTTGCTGAACAGCACTTGTGAGTAGATCAAACAAGACATGTTTGATTAATAACATTGTTAAAGGAGAGATGGATAATCTGTTCCTAAGCTTGCAGATTCTTGTCCCTGAAGGCCATGAGTCCCAGCTTTTTGTGGGCTCTCATTCTGTTGTTCACCTGATTTCCCAAGGTTTTGTCGTCCTTTCTTTTTTTTTTTTTGGTTGGTCATGGGGCCTAAACTCTGGGCCTGGGCCCTGTCCCTCAGCTCTTCAGCTCAAGGCTAGCCCTCTACCACTTGAACCACAGCACCACTTCTGGCTTTTTTCTTTTTGCTTATGTGGTGTTGAGGAATCGAACCCAGGACCTCATGCATGCAAGGCAAGCGCTCTATCACTGAGCCACCTTCCCAGCCCTCAGATTTTTGTCTTTTGGAAGTACTGTGGTATAGACAAACACAGATCATTTTTTTCAGATCATTTTTCAGATCATTTTTTAAAAAGAAAGTCCCAGAGAAGCAGTTTGTCTGAGCTGCATACTTAGTTTTGTGCCAGGGGTAGGCGAAGGTGTATATAAGAATGAATCTTAGTGATGGGAGGTTGCTATGGATGCAGAAAGCAAAAGCCTATTGCCATTACCTTCTATACAGGAAGTCTTGGATAGTCCTTTTAAGCTGGGCTTTCATGCTTGCCTTTTTCCTAATCATGAAACTCGTATTGGACATCTGTGATAATTTCCTTCTAGAAATAACATGTTTTGCCAAAGCCTAAAATTTCCTTTGAAAAATCATAAAGTTGGAAGTAGTGTTGTGGTTCAAGTGGTAGAGTGCTTGCCTTGAGCTGAATTGCTGAGGGACAGTGCCCAGGCCCAGAGAGTTCAAGGTCCATGAATGACCAAAAAAATAAAAAAAATCAGAAAGTGTCAATTTCATTGTTTGAATGCAGACCCTTGTGCTTGCTAGATAGGTGCTCTACCACTTGATACATACCCACAGACCTTTTAAAAATTGTTTTAGGTAGGGTCTCATTGTTTTTGCTGGGGAGGAGCTTCCTGAATAGCTGATAGTACCAGTGTAAGTCTACATCTAGCTCAGTTTTGAGAAAAAATTATCATATGACTTAGAAATTCTTTATTGGGAGATGTTTAGCTATATCACAAGTTGTACCTAGAAATAGCATTAGATGCCTCCACAGCAAGTTATGAAATCTCCACCTACAGGTTAGAGAAGAAGGGCAGTAATTCTGATTAGCTGTGTTCTTCACACCTCTTTGGAAACCAGATGTATTATTTGTTTAGCAGGAGAATTGATTTCCAACTGTTGAATAAGAGACGTACAGAGGCCCAAAACATCTATACCCCTCCCCAACTCCCCACAGGCTTAGGACTACATTCTACTTTATAGCCGCTGCATGGGTAGTAAAATTTTGTTTTCAGCATCAAACACAAGAATTCCTTGCCCTCTGGTTATGTAAGCTCTAGCAACAAAGAAATAGTAAACATAAAGTAAGTATGCTTGAAGCTAATCAGTGCTGGGGGAAAGCATAGGCTGATGAGCAGTTGGAGCCGTGGTTTTAAATGGATGGTGTGTGCATTGTCTTGGAAAGGTAAGCTGTGTAGATATTTAAGTGGAGACAACTACAACCAACCCTTACAAAGGTCTAATGAGATAGGAAGTGGATGGTGAGCTTAGACTAGTGGAGAGAGGGAGTGTGTAGGAGGTAAGAAGGATGGAGAAGGAGCAGGAAAAGAGGGCGAAGCAAGACTGAGGACCTTGCAGGCCAGTTAAGGAGTCTAGGTGGCTGTTGTTTTATAATTGAATCACATGCGAGAACATTTAGTCATTGGCCCCCGAGTATCCATTACCCAGTTGGCTGGGGATCCCTTACTTTTATCTGTAGCATGCCTCCTTCCCTTGTTCCCCCAAACACAGTGGATCACTGACACAAGTGCCAGGCAGCATGTCAAGCTCAGAGCTCATTCCATATATGTGTTTCTTGGGAAGCATTCTCTTGTTATTCCCTCACCTCTGCCCCCAGGATCTGCCTGTTTCTCCCGCCCTTTTCTCTATTCCAGCTCATTTAGGCTCACCTTAGATCTGCTCCATTCCCATTCTTCAAACACTGGGTAATAAGTAACATATATCTCCAAGGCATCTGATGGTTTACTCACCTCTATTTCCCCAGCCATTTACTCCAGCTTACCCGATCCTGTGGTTTGGAGGTGTTGGGAAGGGTACACATAAAACATTCCTCTTGCTAATTGTCTCATCAGAAAGGATCTCCCTTGTGCTCTTAAGAAGGAGATTCTT